ACCCCTCCGTTGGCCGCATCAGCCACTGCCAGCCCTCAGCAGGCTGGCAGCGGGGGCACCACTAAACCATACCGACCCTGGGGGACTGAAGTTGGAGCCTTTTAAGTCCCCCACTCTCCCTTCCTGGTCCAGCTCCCTCCTCTCCCTGAGCACAAGTGCGCGTGCTCACCCACACCCCCCTCCCACACGTGCACACCCACACCCACGCCTGAGCCTGTGGGACCCACCGTGTCCTTCCTGCTCAGCCCAGCCGAGTGGCTGCCTTCACCCAAAGGGCCTGAGAGGTGTCATCAAGGCCGCTGAAGAACGGCACAGCTGTCCTGCTCATTTCAGGCATCGGAGAGGACATGGAGTGATTTCTTCTTCTTCTTCTTGGTTTGTTTCATCGGAGGCACCTGGAGGGAGCAGCAGTGGCTTTCAGAAACTGTGTGACCATATCTGCATATTGTAGAGGTTTCCTGGGAAATAGGTAGACACTAGAACTAATAATTCTCCAGCTATGCATCCTTATTTGGCAAAGAGGTGAGGGATCGCACCTATCATGTCTCCCCAGGCTAGAAAAACAGTTTGAGTTTCATAAGTGCCTGATGTTGAAAAAATAATAAGGAAAAAAAGGTTATATATATATTAGTGTGTTCTGCTAAAACAAATAACATTGCACAGGTATGGGAGAGGGGCATAATCCTGCATTCAACTTCAGGACTTGAATATCTCTCCAGGGAAGAGCTTGCTCTTGAAGGGGAGAGGGGGGGTTTTTTTAGCCAAAAGATTGCCGAGGAAGAATGTTCAGTTTGACAGGCCTTGTTCTTGCTTCCTTAGTTCACTTTCTGTGTACAGACTTGCCAAATTGTGACATCTAGCATAGCATTGGTAAAAGCAATTATCTTATCAGTGCTAGGATTAATGAACATTTCAGCACTGCCTTTGAGCCTTGAGGCACCCCTTTTTATGGCTTAAATATGGTGCTAGCTCCTATCTGCACAAACAGTGAATTTGTCATGCAACCAGAAGTAACCATCTATTTAAAGCGTGCACACTTGGATACAGTTGATGCATGCCAATACAAGAGACTCAGTGTCACAAGAGTTCAAATTAACTTATTTAGCTGTATTTGGACATTTACTTTTAGCTGATTCTGTGCAAGAACCCTCTTATTTTCACTATCAACTTCTGGGAACGATCACTCTGGGTATGAATGAAGTTATGGTAGGGACAATTTTTAAATTGGCTATTAACATGCCAACATTGTAATGTGGGTTTGATTCCAAACCAAAATGAATGTATTACAGGGGTTGTCAGTAAATTATTTTGTCAATACCCAGACAACTAGTGCTGCATAAAATGGTTTGCTTTCATTTTATATTTCAGTGACTTAAAATAATCTAAGTATTTTAATACATCCAGTCAAGAACTAGAGATTTTATGCAAAAAAAAAAATAAAACACAGCATGTATTATTATGCACTTGATTTCTCTGCTGTGTGGAGAAAGCAATAAGCATTAAGAATGTTAAACATTATGCAAAGTATACTTTAAAATATTTGTTTTAAAAATACTGTACCTAGTCGGTCTTTTATGCATTACTTTGTTAACCTTTTTCTATGCAAAAGTCTTTACATATCACTAATTAAACGAAGTCCTTTTTGACTGCGTTTTATGGATGATTTGTTGCAGTTTTTGTTTTCTCCTGAGGAATACTCGCGTACTCAGGGTTAGTTTCTGCCACTGGTAAGAAGCCTGTCGGCTGCACCATCATGTTCTGTTCCCCTTGCTCAGCCAGGGAGCCCGTCTTGTACAGCATGCTCTGAAACAGGCAGAAAAAAAGCAGTTACTAAAGCAGCATCAGTTTTCAGGCTTGTAATCTGGGTTCTGCATTGACAGTGTGCTTAATGATACAAACCCCGCCCAGAGAGCCCCGAAAATCACTGGGGCTTCTAGGATCAGCTTTCCTTCAGATCCTCTCAAGGAGCCCGTGTTTAGAGGGGAAAAAATTTAGCCTAATGATGTCATTAAATATCTGGATTGCAAGAGGGTAGATTTTCCCTCCAGTTCTGGTCTTCTAATTTACCAGTTCTCACTGAAGCAACAGTTTGTTATTTCATCTTAGATCTGCAAAGCCCATCTGTAGAAGGCACGTAGAGCTCTGCCCATAAGGATAAGCACGAAATCTTACTTTTCCAAAAGACACTAAAAGATTATTATGCCCAAATAACAGCTGACAAGACTGAGGCACAGAAATGGAGTGACGATGTCATACATCGCTGATATGCAATCTCAGCTCAGTGGCTTGCTTGCCATCACCCCTTGCTCCCAAATGTTAAACATGTCACTCATCCTCGCCTATATCAGCCAGTCTCCAGCCCCCAGGCGAGGAGGGATTGTGATTTGCCTGAGCAGCATGCTGTCACATGGAGAAAATGGGCAAAAGAGGGGGAGGATGGGTCTCCACCCCTGTGCTGTAAATCACTCTTGACCTGCTTTCAAGTTTTGTTATTTGTGGAGGAATCGGACACTTTTTGATTCAGGACACAAATGCTGCACTGCTGTACTGTCATGTTTAGCAGCATCTGGTTCAGGTACCATTCACTGTTCATATGAGCAGTTTCAAGAATAAAGATTACATTAGTGAATTGGCAAGTAAATGAAAAGTAGGCTTTATTTACATGAAAAAGAGCAGGTTGCAACCCTACTTGACTTTAAGCTGTTAACTATTAACCTGATCTCTAAATGCCTGGTAGGAGGTCTCCCATGCATCATATTGTGTTAAAAAAAGGCAGCCACTAACTTGGTTCCACCTAAGGGCTTTCAATCTAATTCATGTGCCTCAAAACATTACCATTGGTTGCCTCAAATGAAACACTTTCCCTTTTCATTTTTAGAATAAGGCAGTTTGAAAAAATATTTCTAAGAGACTGATTAGATGAAAGTGCAGTTATTTTAGCATTCTGAGACATCAAAGATGGATTTGTGTGGGCTGTGTGTTCGGGCTTATCCCATTTTCACTCTTGCAAAACAGGCCAGATTCATGGATGCTGACTTGCTGATGTCTCCTTTATTTTCTTGTTTCATTTTGTTGTCTTTTGGGTTGTTTTTTTTTAATCTGAATCACCTGAAGGCTCCAGCACATGGGGCAGGAGCTCAGCCTTCAAGCCCATTTAGTCCTGAGACTCTGTAAGACTAGATGAAGCTTTCCCTAGTGAGAAACCAATGGAGAAGACACATACCTCACATGTGCTGTTGGAAAAGTATCATAGCTTCTGATGGCTTTGGTTGTAGAGCTGAAAGATTCTATGCAGTTTTTAAATCAGAGCAAGGAAAAATTCTTTCCTTGGCATAACCAAGATCCAAAAGGTAGGACCTATGGCTGTGCACACATGACCTTAGTTTAGCCCTTTTCTGTCTTTGTTCTGCATTCAGTGATGAATGGAACTGGAGGAAGAAGAAAGTTTGTAATTTATGTAATTTAGGACTAGATCATAGCACGTACCACAAGAAGGCAAATCAGGCTGCTTGCTCATAAGCAAGCACTTGGCTTTGACTAACTTTTCAATGGGTGGGTTTGCAACCTTCAATTCCAGTTATCAAGAGGATGAAAGGAGGTTATGCAGTTCCCTCGAATATTTTTTCTTAAGAGCAAAAAGCAAAAAACCAATTCTGTCACTCAGCATTAGTAGGCTCGAAACCTTAGCCCTCAGCAGTGCAAATAAAAAGCACTTAGACTGCTGTAGCTGCAGGACTGACTGTGTCATGTCACACCGAGAGAAGGTTATTACCCTAAACAGGAGACGGGCAACTGAGATGCGGTGCTGCCTGCTCGCCCTTTGCTCTGGTTGCAAGTGGAGGAAATCTGGCATTAGATGCTGCCCCAGAAGAAAAACCAGCTACTGTGGCCAAGGGATGAATGCGTATATTCAAATCGTATCCTGGCTATGACTACATCTGCCTGAACAACTGTCAGGAGTTGCCAGTTCATGCTGTTGCCTCCCTAGGCTAAGCCTCCAAAATGTTTGTTCACAGCTATTCTAAAAGGCAAGATTTCAATCAGGATGTCATGAGATACGTAAAGGGCATTTACAGAAGCCTGGGACATGGATGTTGACAAATTCTTAGGGCTATTGTAAATGAGAAATTTATTCTTCATAATAGAAAAAGGTCACAAGTGTCTTTTCATCAGAAGATAGTACATCAGAAAATAGTACTGAACTGTGGACTGTTACCAGCTCTGTAGTGACCAGTCTCATTAGTGATCTGCTCCTATAGTCATAGATAACCTGAAATCACACAAATGAGAACCTAAGTGATTTAATAGTCACAGGTAGCTTTGTCCAACTTCGAGAAAAGATTAAGAAATTGGTATAGCTTTGTGTGAAAGCTTCATGTGCTCATTTGTATGAGGCTACTGCCTGAACCTACTTGTAGTTTTACTTAGTGCCAAAATTTTTACTTGTGCTCTGTTGCTCTGCTTCACCATTTAACACAGCAAAGACTTGTGTTTTGGAAGCTACCGTGTAAAGGTCTCACAAGAGATGACTGCAGCAACAAATCTGACCATGACCAGAAATGATAAGCAGAGGAGCACCAACCAGGTGCTAGAAATCCTGGACTCTTAACTTGAGGGTAAACCCAACCTTTCCTGATTTACAAAGGAGACTAAAAAATGAGGGTTCATCATCTGAAAAGAGGTGTTTTGGTTTAGGTTTTTGTGTTGGGTTGAGTTTTTCCCCCTCCTCTGGTAATTGCTACTACTGTAAAGCACTGTTAATGTGTAATACAATCACCTAGTCAGAATTCAGTTGCCCAAATATTTGCTGTGCCCTAGGCTGGGCTCCAACTATCACTCTGGAAGGTGCAGGTCTCCCTTGTGTTCTGTGTCACCTCCACCAGCCCTGTGTAGATGCTTGGGAAACCTAAGGCTGCTTAAGTGGTACGGGATGCAAATGGCCAGGCAGCTGAATTTTTCCTTATCTATCTTGCATCACCTGTGGAGAGGTAGGATTTGAAGCTTAAGAATATTTTCACGTGATCTAATTTTGTCAAAGAATCAGTGTCTTTCTCACCTGAAGAAACAACAGAACAGTATCCAACTCATATTATGATAATGTGTTG